AATAGAATAGAATAGAATAGAATAGAATAGAATAGAATAGAATAGAATAGAATAGAATAGAATAGAATAGAATAGGAGTACAGCAAAATAAAATGACTAACAAAATATAGAATGAATGGAATGGAATGGAATGGAATGGAATAGAATAGAATAGAATAGAATAGAATAGAATAGAACATCTTCAGTGCCTAAGACTTCAGTGTACATAAAAAATGCATTCATCAAGAACCATAAGAGACAACAGTGATAGTCATAGGATACTAAAGAAGCAATCAAAATCATACTAGGAAACTAAATAAAACAATGTATATTGTAAAGCTACAAGCAACAAGGTTATAGTTATAAGTAGGAAGAGAGAGTAATAGGAAGAATGAGAAGAAGAATAGTAATGTAGTCTTAGTAATAATTTGACAATGTGGGAATTAGTTGTTTAGCAGAGTGATGACATGCAAGGGTAAATTAATTTAACACTTGCACCAATTCACATGACAAATGTGGCAAATAAAGTCATAAAATAGGGAAAAACTCACTTAACAAATTTCCCACTTGGCAAAATTAATTCTGGGTTCAATTATGGTCATACGTTAAGGACTGTCTGTATTAATCATTTACAGTTGAACAAATTCATAAATATACACACTGACGTTATGCTGAGAGGTGAATTAAAAGTTAATTCTACAGTCAGTAGGTGAATAATAACCCAAGCATTTAAATCAGCCCCAGTCCTCCCAAATATACCATCTTTATGCCACACTCATAGGTTAAAGTTCACACAATACTCCTTTCCCAACTAAGCTTTTTTATTATTATTATTGGTAGAAATCTTCTACTTTTTTTCAAGGGTGTTATATTTCATATTCCTTATAAATAAAACACAAGCAAAGCCAAATGTCCAGAGAATATTTGAATGGCCAGTAAATAAATAGAAGATAAAGGTAGCTTCTCTTGAACTCCATATAGAGTTTGTGCGGCTCATCCTATAATCAAAGGATGCAAATGTACAGATGCAAATAGTAGTAGGAAAACCAAGCTTACAGTTAGGTTTGAGATACTAAAGGCAACCAATCTTAAACAGATTTTTAAAATAGGTAAGAGTAACTTGAGTTAAGTGTGTGCAACACATATTAATGTGAAATAAGCAGTTGTCCGGGACTGTGGAAGTAGTGATCAC